CCCCCCCCCGCTGATTCTGATGGCCAACCTTTTTGAGGTCCCCTTGCCTGACCTGCCCCACTTCTGTGAATGCCCTGATTCCAGTGGCCGCCCCGTGAGGGCAGGGCCCCTGCCTGTCCTGCCCGCTGCTGTGTCCACCTGGTACTAAGCGACTGTACATACCACTCAAAGACACATCTTTTACAGACGTGTGGACCCCCCACCCCTGCCGGCCCTCCTGCCCCCAGTCAGGTGGGGCCGAGTGGTGGGAGGACGTGAGCTCTGGAGCCACACAGCCGTTTAGATCTCGGCTCTGCACTCGCTGCCTCTAGCTGCCTTGTCCCATCTCACGTGGTAGTTGGAGGGCTTGATGAGATCATCCAGGGAAGCGCTCGGCACAGGGCCTGGCCCGTAAGCCTGGGAACGTTAGCTACGATTGTTCATGGGCTCATTCTGCAGGTGCCTATTGAGCAGGTGCAGACGTGGTGCCAGGTGCTGGGAGGTGAGAGTGCAGGAGGGGCACTTTTGTCCTTAGGGCTCCCAGCTGGAGCAAGGGGAAGGTGGGGGTGACTGGCGCGCACTTGGTGGTGGGCCATGGCAGCCCTTGACGTGTGCTGAAGATCGCGAGTTTTCACTGGCCAGCATGGCCTATAGCCTGGGAGTCCGGTTAGCTTTCTGACCTGTGTGCCCAGGCCAGCCACGCATCCCAGCGTTTGGTTTGCAGCAGACAGCTGCCGAGCGCATGGCCCAGGTGAGCCAGTGGCTGTCTTAAGCTGTCAGGATCTGCCAGTGTGGCAGAACTTTGGCCTGTGGGTTCTTTTAAAGTCAGTGGGAGTTGGTTTTGCTTTTTAAATAAGTTTTGCTTTAAAAATAAAAAATGTATGCACACGCTACAAAATCCCAAGGCCAGAGAGTGGTGAGTGAGCCCCCCCCCTCCCCCAGCCTGGTCCCCAGCCCCTGCTGTTCTCTGCAGAGGCCATGAGGTTCGGGTCCAGGTCCCCTTCCAGGGCAGGCGCAGCAGTTCTCTCCCTCCCCTCTCGCCGCCTCTCCCTTCTGCATCATGCTCTTTTCACTCAATATGTCTTCGAGATCTTTCCAGATGAGTGCACAGAGAGCCGCCCACTTTTTTAGCTGCTGAACAGAATTTCAGGGCCTGTCCGAGTTATAATTTAGGTGACCGTTTCTCTGTTGTTGGGCATTGAGGTTACCTGGAGCCTTGCTGTCACAAAGTCTGTTGCAGTGAGTATCGCTGTACATACATCACATTGTATTTCTGTAAATGGGTGTGTAGGATGAATATTTAATTGGGGAATTATGGGACCTTTTAAATTTTGTCCACTGTTGCCAAATTAACCTTCTCAGGGCAAGTGTAGAGTAGAGTAGTCAGCCCTTTCTGGACTCTCAAAGCCCAAGGGTCCTTCTGGGGCCAGCATGGGTTACTCTCGTGTGCCCCGCTTTGGGGACCAGGGAGGAAGGAGTTCTGTGTCCCCCTTTAGGGATGTGGATTATCAACTAATGTTCCAGGTCCCTCCCCCTTCCCACCCATGGCCCCTGGAGAATCCCTTTATTCCTGGCTGGCCCTGGCTCCTGGGACCTTCCTACCGTCATCTCAGCCCCTTTTGTCCTGTTGCCAGAGATGAGGCTGCTTTTTCTGCGGCCCATCAGGCTGGTAGAAGGGAAAACACCGACATCCAAAGACCTTCCCTTTGCTGTCGTCTGAAGGGCCCGCCATGCTCACTTTGGGGGAAGAGGTGACATTCCCATCATGTGCTTCTGGCCCAGCCTGACTGGAGGAAGAGAGGCAGGGTGCGAGCAAAGGCCGAAAACCTGCCTGGAGCTCCATGTGGCTGCAAATGGGTGTCCTTTGGCTGTGATTTTGATTTAAAAAAGGCTAAGTAGTCGCCAGTGTCTAAAAAGTGGGAGTTTTGAATAAAAATCCAAATGTGTGATTTCTCCAAAAATGTTGCAGCAGAAGGTGCAGGCCTGGCCTGGGCTGATGGACCTTGTAGTTTCTAGGACTCCTTCCTGTGTGTGTGTGTGTGTTTACAGCATTACTGTGATATAATTCACATACCACAGAATTCACCCATTCGAAATGTACAATTTAATGGCTTTTTGTATATTCACAGAGTTGCACAACCGTCAACCACAATCAATATTAGAACATTTTCATTACCCCCTTAGCTCTGACTACCCCAAGACCCCCACTAATCTATTGTCCTTCGCTATAGATTTGTCTTTTCTGGACATTTCATATATGTTTGTGTTTTAAAGGCACCGATAGGCCAGAGGTTTGAAGGCCCTATTCAGCCGGTGGACAGGTTTGTTTGGCCGTCATAGTGGTTTTAAAATTTTTAGGTTAGTTTTGAACAATTTTGAATTGGGAGAGTTTGAATGAATATTTGGGCCCTTGTCTTGAACAAAACAAGCTTGGCACATTCCCACTTGGAACAATCCACTGGAGCCAAGTAGCAGCCACCCTCTTTACATGGGGCAGCAGGTCTCTTGTTTGCCACAGTCCCCACCCCTCCCTGGTGTCCCCGCCTGAAGTGTCAGCTGTGGTTTATTATCCTGCTCATGCTGCTGTGTTTCTTAGAGAAAAGTAAAAGGTCTCTGTCAAAAGTAGGAAACTGAAAACAAGCAGTGTGCTGAAAATGATTCTTAAGCATTGACCCACTTCCCTTGTGCTCATTTCCTGCCTGGTTTCTGGGTGCCTCTGAGTTTGGACACCCTGTTAGGGTCCAAGTTACAATCATCTCTTTTATGGGTATAGCATCTCGCCAAGAGTAACCCAGAGACAGAGAGAGTCTGAGGATTGTTTTCCTCTGGTTTTCAAATGGGGAAACTGAGGCACAGAGATGGTCAGAGGTGTGGTTAAGACCACAGGGCAGTGTAGGCTGCTGTTCTCAGGTGGGGGCTCCCCCAGGAGAGTGCATTCCTTCTTCCCCCTTTCCTTGCTCAGTTTTCTTTCCTCTCTCCCTCCTTCCTTCCTTTCCTGCAGTGAATATTCACTGAGCACCATATTGGTGATCATTTGTCAGGTAACAAACTACCCCAAACCTTAGTGGCTGAAAGCACTATCATTTTATGGTGCATGATTTTGCTGGCTGGTGGGGCTCATCCCAGTGGTTTTTCTGTTTCATGGTGTCGGCTGAGCTTACTCATGGGGATGCATTCAGCTGGAGGCTTGGCCACATCAGAAGGGCCAACATGGCCTCACTTATGTGTCGGGCAGCTGGTGCTATCTGCTGGGGCATCTCAGTCCCCCTCCACGTGGCCTCTCCAGCAGAGTTGCCTGGGCTTCTTCACATGGCCATTGTCCTCCAAGAAGGTGACTCAGATGCTGCAAAGTGTCCTGAGGCCTAGACCCAGAAGTGACAGAGTGTTGCTTCTGCCACGTTCAGTTGGTCAAAGCAAGTCACAGGCCTGGCCAGACTCAAGGGTGGGGAGGAATGGATCCTACCTTTTCATGGGCAGAGTCATATTGCACAGAGGTATGCAGGATAGGAGGGATGTGGGGGGCCAGCTTTAGAAACAAGCACCTACTATGTGCCAGGCATTATTCTCGGCCCTGGGAATACAAAGGGGAATAAAAGAGACTAAAACCTCTGCCCTCCAGGAGCTTTTATTTTGGGGAGGTGGGGGGGAAGACAGGAAAAAGTAAAATATATAGTATGCTGGTAAAAATAAAGAGAAATAAATTGGGGCAGGACAGGGAGTGGTGGAGGAGTTGCAAGGTCAGGGGAGGTCTCACTGAAGAGAGATATTTGAGCAAAGGAAGTGTGGGGTGAGCTTTACCGGTAAAGGGAACAGTAGGTGCAAAGGCCCTGGGGTGAGGACATGGCTGGTGTGGTTGGTAGAGAATGAGCGATGGGGTTGGAGAGGAGGTGGAGGGTCCAGATGGTTTAGGGAAGGGGGACCCTGTTTGGCATTACTGAATGAGGTGGAGAAGAGAGGGTTTTTTAAAAATTAAGATATAATTCATATAACATAAATTTGGCTCTTTTAAACTATATAATTCAGTGTTTTTCAGTATATTCACTGTGTTGAACAAACATCACCATGACCTAAACATCACCATCATCCAAAAAAGAAACCCCATAACCATTAGCAGTTATTCCTTCCTCTCATCCCTTGGGGGAGACAACCACTAATACACTTTCCGTCTCTGTGGATTTGCCTTTTAGATACATCAAAGGAATCATGTGATAGTGACTTTTGTGTCTGGCTTCTGTCCCTTGGCATGTTTTCAAAGTTCAGCCATGTTGTGGCGTGTTTCAGGGCATCGTTCCTTTTTATTGCTGAATAATATTCCATTGTGTGGATAGACTACGTTTTGTCCATTCATCAGTTGATGGACATGAGTTATTTCCACTTTTTGGCTATTTTGAATAGTGTACAAGTTTTTGTAACAGTGGATGTTTGGGGATGTTTGGATATCCTTTTGGATATGTTGCTGGATCACAGGGCAACTCTACATTTTTAACCTTTTTTAAAAAGCAATTATTGATTTTTAGAGAGAATGGAGGAGAGAGAGAGAGAGAAACATTGATTTGTTGTTCCTCTTATTTATGCATCATTGGTTGCTTCTTGTATGCCCCCTGGCCTGGAGATCAAACCTGCAATCTTGGCGTATTGGGATGGTGCTCTAACTAACTGAGCTACCCGGCCAGGGCCTCTACGTTTACCCTTTTGAAGAACTGCCAGACTGGTTTCCAAAGCTGCTGTACAATTTCACGTTCCCACCAGCAGTGTATGCGGGTTCCAGTCGCTCCACATCTTTGCCAACACTTACTGCTTTCCATTTTTGTGAAGTGGTATGGTGGAAGATTTTGAGCGGAGGAGGGCTTTGATTTTAACAGTATCTTTCAGAGGAGTAGACTGAAGGGGAGCAAAAGAAGCAGGGGACCAGTGAGCAGGCTACTGCATGAGTCCCAGCAAGGAGGACAGTATCTTGCACTGGGGTGGTGGTGAGGGAGGAGGGAGAAGTGATCAGATTTGGGATACTTTTTTTTTTTTTTTTTTAAATTTGTTTTTTTTTTTTTTTTTTTT